TCAGATACTCCAGCTAAGTGTACCACCTCCCATATTCTTTTTTCCTTTCTGTGCCAGGCCATGTTTCCAGCAGTCCTGGAAGCCCAAGTATGAGGCCTCCTGCCCCAACTCCATTCATCCCCCGAACTGTGCTGCTGCAGTGTCCAGTCTCAGTCAGCCAGGGTAAAATTCAATGCAATACACGTTGGTAGAGGTATTGGCTAAGGCTCTTTGAACATCCACCAGGCCTTTTCTGTGATATGCATACAACATAATCCTACTCATCGTTATGTGTTAGGTGCTATTCAGAGGTCCCTACTGATCTCATTATGTTGATGGTGCAGCAGATTACTATGTGGGTGGCTGGGAGAGAGCAAAAGCGAGTGTAAAGTGCTCCCCTTGCAATGAGAGTGATGCAAGCACCAGTGCTGCCCCATCAACACTGTACTCACCCCAGAAGCCATCCTTCCCTTGCCCACACCAACCCTGTTCTTGGGCAAACCGATTTGCAGTACACCACAAGCATAAAAGAACAAGAATAAGACCAAAAAGCATATGCAGGTGGTTTGTTCCCCACAACCTGTCTCTTCCAACTTCAGTGGTTGAGTTTTCAGATAAGTCTAGTGATACATCTGTCAGCCGCTTTAAAGCTTCTGTACCATTTTACTTAGGTGACAGAAGCAGACATTGGAATTTTTCACCATAGGTCTCCAGCACAGAAAATACATGAATGAAGATTAAAAACATAAGGGCGAAAAGGGGGCAATGAGAAACATGCAGTCATGCCTGCCATTCTAATATATTCTTCTAATCACCATATTTTATTATCTTCAGGGACAAATCCTCAAAGTGCTTTTGTTCCTGCAAGATGTAGAATGCATATTGGTCTTTTTTTTTTTTTTTAAGAGTCTTGGAAATTGTTCTCTTTTGATAGTGAATGAAGTTGTCTACAAGTTTATGAATCTTTTCCTTTTATTGGATTTTAGAGATTCTTTGATCTGTTTAATGTATTAAAATCAGGCTATTTTTAATAGAGAATTTTTTTTGCTATAAATCTGACATATTCTAGATCAAATTGTTTTCTAAAGATTCTGTATACATATATCTTCACTTACATACATTTGGAATCTGATATAAAGGTCTAATCCAGCATTTTTGGGAAAGACTGTATTAACTTCAGGTAGAGAGTGCCGGAGGTGATTTTGTTTGGAACAATCCAAACAAATGCCAGTAAGATCTTTATCTCATAGTGTACCATTATGCATTTTGTTCTGAACTTATTTATAGGAACTATCTCAGATTTTGGCAAAATTTCTGCGTTTTTAAATTGTGTTGTTTTTCATATGCCTCCAGTCTCCCACATGCAGAGTCGTTTTTCCTTCTTCCTTGAGCCCAACTGTTCTGTGAAACTACTGCCTTCTTACTCAGGAGATTGGCTTCCTGTATGTGCTTACAGGGAAAAAGTTGATATTCCTGAGAGTTGTGCAGAACCACAAATCCCGGGGAGCGGGGATCAGCTACACTCCTTCCAAACTGGAACTTCAGAAGCAGGATCTTTCTAATTCATAAGGAAGACTATCTCTTATGCATTAACAAGACAGGAATTTCAATAATGTAAGCTGAAGTGAATGGGATCTGAATCCATCTGAGTATAAGCAATTTTGCTGTATTCTTATTGCTTTGATTCCAAGAAATAAGTTTTCCTTCCAGCTAAGTTTTCCTACAGACTTAAGAAACTACAATATCACAAAGCCTCTTATGTTTTTATAACGTAAGAAAAGCATAATAACCCCAGTAGAGATTGCCGTCCCATATTTCCTGGTATAAGAACCTGTTTTGTATGTAAGCATATCAAAGTTAAATCTTTGGACTCAAATTCTCTAAGTGTCTACTAGAATAATTTCTTTTTGGTGAATGTTTCAGCTAGTATAGCTCAGCTATTTCTAAGGCTGAAATCATGTGAAAAGACACTCTTGCATTCATATTCATTTTAATTATATTTACCGTGTCACCTCTGTAAAGTTAATGGAGGTTAAATTTGGCCCAGCTTATAAGAAATGTGTGTGTGGCAGCTGAGAGCAGGGAGAGAATTTCTCCTCTTGTCTCTGATCTGCCGCAGAAGGAGGTTAGGTTTGCCCCGCTCTCAATGTAGGAGCCTATGGAAGGAGACTGGAGGAGCACAAGAAGAGTAATCAGGTAAAAAACAGAATCGGGGACGGGGATTAAGGGGAGAATGGGAGCAGACACCAGGGAGATAGGAATATGGGGGACTGTTTCAGTCTCTTCACACATATGCCTGCAAAGCAGACAGCAGCTTTCCACTACTATCAGTTTACTCCTCTATGTTAAGCAATAGTGGATTATACTGAGTATCTAAAGTTTCCTGGTTTGCTCTTGTGGAAGGATGAAGAGCTGGTTTAGCTCCATGACAGGAGAAAATGAAGTCTGTTTTACAGGAGATGACTCTCTGCTACTGTTGATGCTGATGGTAACACGCAGCAAAAGCTCCAAAACCTGAGCACATTGAAAGATCCAGTTGTTGCCTTCTTAGACTGGGGACAAGGAGGCAACATGAATTCCAGGCTTTCCTGAATTTTAAATATTTTATTTTGTAACCTTGACATACTTTAAAAATATATATAATACCAGCTGCAAAGAAACAAAATATATGAAGTAATATATAAGGAAAAAAAAAACCAATAGTAAAGAATTAATAAAATAATGCTTTCTCTGCCATGCAGCAACTATGTGCAAATAGACAGGCTTTTTCCTGTGCCTAAGTGTTAGCTGAATTGGGTTTTAAGCGTTGCAATATTTGAAGCTGGATGCCAAGGTTACTGACACCAGTAAACAGTGTGTAGTAGCTCAGTGATGAGTACACTATGATTATGCGTAAACATCATGCAGCGATGAAAGGTGAAATCGCAAAAACAGTGGAATGAAGTGAAAGCAATAGCTGTAAACAAAATAGCTGCATTTATTAAAACGAACAAAAATGTATAGCCTTTGTTTTGGACTGGATCCTCAGTTGGCTCAGTTTCCTTAAATCCATTTATGCTAGCTATTTCCAGCAGCTGGGGAAGCCAGCCCAAAACTGGAAGCGTTTTTTTCCCCAGTTCTTCCCGTAAGTTTACAGCCTCCTTTAGGTTATCCAAAGGAGAAAGGAAGAAAGGGGAAATTATATTTTGTATGTGTTTACCAGGGAGATGAAGGGGGTATTAACCCCACCTCATCGCTATCGCTGTTTGCACAGCCTGCGCTGCACGCACTCTTACACCGTGGGATCTGCTTAAACTGGCATGAGTGCGCAGCTTCGCCCTTTAGGCAGGTCTCTGCCTGCTCCTGTTCTGAATGCTGCACACAAATTCTTTCAGGATATGATTTGCAGACTTGTAGTCTTAAATAATACCACTTACTGTGAAATATAATTTTAAATGTAATATCTGCACAGTCTCCATGATTGCCTTAAAAAGACCTCCCCTAGATTTTGCAGGATACTCTGCAGAGTAGCACTTGAGAGTCCTCAAGAGTACATCTGTAAACTAATCTGAAAAGAGTGAAGATTTAGCAGCTGAACAGAAGTATTGCTTATTCCAATGTGTTTTTTGAAAGAAAGCTATGTTGCCGTGGGACAGGAGATTTGATATTCAGAAAGAATTCATATCTATTATTAAGCCCTGATTCAGCAAAGTATTTAAGCATGTTCTGTTATGCGCCTATTAGTGTTTGATTTTGCTGCTTAAGAGCTTAAGAGCTCTACTGAGTCAGAAGCAACAAGCTAAATGGAAAGCTGGAGATGAAGTTTTCATGGATCTGCTCACATAAAGCCTATTTCATGATGATGTTAAATAAGTACAAAAAATAAGAATTCTTGCTTCTAGCAAATTAGCGTCATGAGACTCCAGCAGGGGTAAGAGTTCAAGACAGGTCATGTGTTTTTTCCAGGTTTTGTTCACAACTGTAATAGTTAGAAGCTTCGGGGTTTTTTTCTTTTTAAAAAAAAAAAAAACAAGCTGAGTTTTTGTCTGAAATGAGATAGTTGAAAAAACCAATAGGAGATTGCCAGCCTACTTAGAACCATCTTGATTTGATCCCCGGCTGCAATTCCCTTTTTAAGCTATTGTTGTGCCTCCTGTGATTCCCAATAGTCAATGCCAGCTAATCAAGTACGTTAACCTTCAAATTCTGAACTTACTATGTAGATGATCTCAAACTCCTTCAAATTCACTCTGCATTGCCCACTCTTTTGATGAATTCCAGGGTCATCTTTCAGTAGTCGTATTATCCTTTATTTATGTAGCTATAGGTCCTCCCCTACTCCTAGCAGCTCCTAAGAATAGAGGAATTGAATTGTGGAGGATTATTTTATGGACTTGCGTGGGAACTTATTTCATCTATTGTTCGAACAGATGGTCTTTTTCAGCTGTTCATATGCTAGGAGTTATTTGACCTCCCCGCAAGCAGGGAGAGAAGAGTAGAGACGGGTGAAGTTAGGACTGCGCTGGTACAGTTAAATTCGGGGGGGCTGGGGGCTGGAGGGGGGTTGTTGATACTACTCCCCCTCTTTGGTTTCTTTACCATTTTACCAACAAGGAACTAACTCATTTTATCCTCATCCACTCTGCTCATCTTATTCCGTGTTAAGTACTTTCCAGTCTGGAGAAAAATGAACATAATGTATAGCTGGGTAAGGTAGGGGGAGGGGATGAAAAAAAATGAAGAGTTTTTGAACATTTCTGTGGTCATGTCCTTGGTTCCAGTCAAATGAAAGAAGGTTCACATCTGGTATTTGGCTTCAGCAGGAGCTACAATTTCTCCACCCGCAGCGCTGCCAGCAGTATAGTAATTGTCTATGAGCTCAAACACCTTCCACCATATTTTATCATCATGAAAATTAATGCAATCATCACTAATTTATGATTCTTGTCAGATACTACAAGTTAAGCAAAGTGTTTGTTTCAGGCTATTGAAGGCATCTGCTATTTTTTCAGTTGTATTCTACCCTTTTTTTCCATTTTTAGGGAAGCAATGTAATGGAGGACCAGGATCTCTTGGAAATAGGAATCCTTAACTCTGGACACAGACAGAGAATACTCCAAGCAATCCAGCTTCTCCCAAAGGTATAATTTCTGTTATTATCCAAGTGAGGGAACTAAAACCTACAGTTTTCACTTTATTTAAGACACTTTTTGAATGGAGGTGAACATGACTCTCTACTGGTTTTATAGACGCGTTTTTTGCATATGCAAATACTGCATAAAGTAATGTCATTGCGTTGGACCCACTTTGTATAGATGCAATTGACAAACAAAGTAAAGGAGAGTAAAATCTGGAATTTGAAGTGATGGCTCTTTAGAATTTATTTTAGTTATTTTTGACTTTTCAATCTGTTTATAGACCGTTGTTACATATGTGTAAATAAGGCTGTCAATGAATCCCAGATGTTTGTCTTTATATAGCAGTTGGCCTGGAAGTACTTTGTCCCTTATATAAGAATTCTTAAAAGCCTTGGATGAAACATTATTTTCCTAATACCTGCCTTTAATGTAAGAGGTGGAGATTTTCTGCAGGCTTCATATTTGATTTGCTGCCTTGTACAGGAATTTTGCTTCTCAGCTGTGGACAGAATAACTTGCAGTCATTTTGCCAATCATTTTTGGTGCTACCTGATTAAACTATAGATTTTAAAATCAGTCATAGACGGGATGGTTCTTATATTTTGCATACCAGAATATATCAGTGGGGGCTTCTACCAGCATTCCGAACAAGAGAGAGAGTGGGCCTAGCATGAAAACTTACTATTTCGTTTTGTGAAGCTGTGTAGGGAGAATGAACGGGAGAAGTAGACACCAGTAAGGCTCAGAAGGCTGCCACATGTGATGCAGATACATAGTGCAAGGTACTAGGGCAGGAATAAAACCTGGTATAATATGTGTGGAGTGCTCTGGGAGCAGGTTAAGTGGAATAGCTGAGGTAAATAGAGATTAGACTGCTTGCATTTGATAATACTGGAGAACAAGAAGAGTTATTAAAGGACTTTTCAGTCCAGAGCATGAGGCTGACATTGCTGGAAGAGGCTTTTTGATAAATTGTGTCTTACTAGATAAGTTCTTCTGAGTCACTTGTAAAAGAGAACAAGGATTTCTTCTGTGAAAAATGAGTAGTTGTGAATAATATCTGTATCTGGATGTCCTAGTCAATCCGTATATACTACAATAGAATCTGTGCACTGAAACACCAAAGGTTATTAAAGACAATAATATTCCACATACCGTATTAGTCAAGTGAGATAAATGGTACAAGTAGTATGGTATATAAAAGTAACATGTGATGAATTACAATAGATATTTAGGGTTTAACTCTGAAATTATGAATTTTCTAGCAATGCTGTAATTCAAAGAAAATTTTGTAATCTTAATCCTGCTCTGAGCTGATGAAATATTTTTTCTGTTTTTCATACTTTTTAGTGATCAGCTTTTTCGTATTCTTGTTTAAATTGTTCAAATTAATGAATGGAATTTTTAATATATCATAATTTTAGTGCTGTCTGCATTCAGTAACTGGTGCTTATGAAAAAATTGTCAATAACGTCTGCTTGTGGAGAGTATACTAATGCTGAGAGCCAGATTCTGTCATAAAACTCCAACTGAGGCCTTTTTAAAATGTGCTTAATACAAGAAAGGAGAGCATAACCAAGATCTAGGGATACTCTTGAAACCAGCTAAGAGCAAGCTGGTTATGTGGTTACTTGGAAGAATCAGCATCTTCTGACCCAATGATAATTAAGTAGCACAGAATGGCTTGAAGCACGAGCTGAATAACACTGAGGTAGTCTTTAGCAGCTTCCCTGTTGAGCTACGAAAGAGTTCTGAAGGAGCAAGTTCTTGACATGTCTTTGATGCAAGAGTGCTACACCATAGCAAAGGCAGTCAAAAGCTGACGCTCTGCGTCACATTTCTTCACTTACATGGCTCAGCAACGCAAGAGAGCTTACATGGTAAAAATACATAGTTCCTATTCAAAACCCAGGCCTTTTGAAGGCACAGCTATTGGAATAGTTATGGGGCCCACAAATTGGGATCATGGTAAGTTTTATCTAATGTAACCCACCCTTGCTGTATTCACAACAGCTTGCTGAAAATCTAAAAACCTTTCACATCTTGCAAGGAACTGTGAAACAGTTCTGTATATCTATTTGTTTGTTGATAAGTTCAACTCTGTCATCATGCATTCAAAATAGTGCATACCGTCTAAATATTTTAAGATCTCATACCATAATTGAAGTCTCACTAATTTGAATCTCATTAGATAAAAATTCTTTTCATTTGTTTGTTTTGAACATGTACCTCTTTTCTATTCCTCATTTAATTTAAAACTTGATGACTCCTTGTGTTTTAGTACTTAATAACATTGCTGATGATGTTATTTTTAGTTTTACTATTAATGTTTCCTGTCTTGTGATACTTTTTAACTCAGATTTTGAGGTGGAAGATCAGTGCTTTAAAAAACATCTATGGAACAACGCTTCCCGAGAGCCATGTACTCAGGCAGTATTGAATAAGCTTAGAGGGGAAAAATTAAGCAACAAATCTATTATCAAGATTTTAAAATACTCTTTTTTTAAAGCTCTTTTAGTTATTCCCATCAGTATTCATCTCTGCAGCCGGAAAACGCAACAGGCATTTTAGTGGCTGAAAAAAAGACTGTCTTTTTTTACTCATAATTGCTGGCTTCCTAAAGAGTGATGAATTTTTATATTTCAAACACCAGTAGCATGTTTAGGAACCCCTTTCCAGGGCTTAAAGGAGTTTTAAATAGGAAAAAAACCCACATACCCATCCAAATATAGGTGAATTAATCATTGTAGTTTCTTATGCAGTGTTTAACCATTATGAAAAGGTATGTTTACCCAGATTTCTCAAAATATTTTTCCCTAATGTTTCTATATTTGAGAACATTTCATAAGAGGGTAAACTGGGATGAGATAGACAGAGTTGGAATCTTTCTGTTAGATTTCTGCTTTTCAAAATACCCTTTATTTTTGTTGGATTAGAGCTAGTAGCCCAAATTCTCATCTCACACTAATGTAATTTAATTTATTCAAGTTTCACATTAATATTAACTAGAGCACTTTATGACTTATTATTATTAGATAAGGTTAAGACACTCCAGTAGAAATATCATTTGTAAAGTTAATTCTTGGAATGGAAATATTTTATACATGACATCAGTCTTAGAGCAAATTTCTTAGCAGAGCTTGATATTGCATTTAAGATTTTTTGTGTGAAAAGTATGAAATCAATAAATGTTTGGAGAAGGATTTCATATGTTTTATTAAAAGGAAGTTCAGATGGGTCAAGAGTAGAGACAACGTCTAAAAAAGATACCGAAGTTGCAAGTAGGAAGACTTGAGGAAAAAAAAAATAATATTGAGAAGGGAATTGTGTGCAGGATATGCTTAATTGATTAAAAAAATAATAGCAGTCATGACATAACATTTTAGCCACACTTAAGTGACATAGGAATCCTAAGGAGCATTGTCAAGTTTTTTTGTTATCTGAAACCTCTGTGCAAGTGACTTCTCAATGGGCTCCTCTAAAGCGAAAATGTTTTTGAAAATAAGAATTATCCTAGCTTATCTGAGAACTTAGATAAGAAACAGGATTGTTTTTGTGTGGGATGCTCAGTGTATGGCTCCTTCTCCCAGTGCATAACGGGAATACATTCTCATTTGACAGATGGAAGATGTTAGCTGAAAACAGCTTTCTCTTGGCTTGAGAGCTATTCCTAAAGCATGCGACTTGTTCCTTCCAGCACAGATAGCTCTCAGCATAAAGCAAGTATGGGAATCTGGTAGCAGTGGTGTGCAGGCAGCCAGCCGCTTTCCTGGGTGCTTTGCAGAACCAGACAAGAAGTGGGATAAGAGCACATGCTCTCTGTGAGCAGTGTTATATGAGCAGTAAAGCTCTGCTTCCAAAAAGTGCTGGATCTATTACTCATATATAACACTCTTTTGTGCGAGCACAGTTAAGTCTGGCATTTAGGAAAACAGAACTACTGTGCATGTGCACATTAACTATGCTGTGTATGTAACAGAGAAAGACCACATCATATGTTTGCTATTGCTACACCTCTATTGGCTTCAACATCCCAGAGCTTAGCAAGCTGATTTGAATCCTGGTGTTTAATTCTCTCCCATTCAGCACAGCTAAAAAGTAGATCATTCCAACTGCTGTTCCTAAAGACAGTGTCCAAACTAGGAGATGCTGCAAACTGGTATCATAACATTTGTGACCCTTTCTGGCTATGATTCCCTTGGTTCCAGTCTGCTGGAAGTGAAGATGAAAAACAGAATTCAAAGGAAGTGCTTTCTACCCTGCTTTTTTTCCTTCTTCTAATGCCTCTGGTAATTACTTTCCAGGTTTAGAAGGAGGCCACTCACCTGCTCGTTACACTGCTTATCAGGACAGAAAAAAATGTTAGAATCCAGCATAACACATGAATTTTTCAACTCTGAAACACAAATGTGTAATCTACATTATTTAAGTAATGCAGCACAGTAGGAATGGATCAGTAAAGCAAGGCAGTTAGATACATCCATGCTATAGTCCAGGGTGTTTACTTCAGGCTAGCTTTAGACTGGTCCCATAGGCATGTGCTTCAAAACTGTCTGATGAAAGCAGTCTCACAACCATTTTTCTCCTTAACTGAGCCTATCAGTGAGCCACTCTAGGCATGACGTGCTGTCATTTATCTGCATCGTGTAGATAAGAGCAGTATGTCACGGTTACTGCCACCATGGCCCATAGAGTAAGTCTTATTTTTCTTCCTGCTTCTTTTATACTTTCTTGTTTGTGGTTGACTCCGTATTGCCTACTGCCTACTCTGAGAATAGTCAGCAGGCAAGGAAATGTGAGAGGAAGTGCTATTCTTTTTCTATGGCAATTAGACTAGGATAACAACCTGCATGAGCTGACTTGGACTTTCTGTACATCCTTTGTCCGAGAAAGAAGACATGGATAGTTGCTTTCTGAAAGCCTTTGCTGCTGTGGCTGTTCTGCCGTAGGCCTTCACCCTTTGTATGTTCATGAGCTCCATAAAGGCTCCTGGTGGTGTCCAT